CTGCCAGTGCAGTCACATGTCCAACACGCCAATGCATGATGTCCATATGCTCAAGGTTCTAGTGTGGACTCAGTAGCACTCCAGTGCCTCAGCTGTAAAAGAGACACCTGACCGCCTTGCTGTCTGTACCGTTGTGAGGGCAGTAACGCACAGGTTACATCTCAACGGGGGTGGGGGTGGGGGTGGGGGTGGGGGTGGGGGTGGGGGTGGGGGGGTGGCGGTGCGGCGGCGGTGGCGGTGCTGGTAGTGGTGCGGCTGCTGGGTCGTGGTGGTGGTGGTTGTGGTGGCCGTGGTGGTGCTGGCTGATGGTGGCGGCGGCGGTGGTGGTAGTGGTGGCGTTGGTGTTCTAGAGTATGCTGTCCAACCTGTCTAAAGCTGTTCAGCCGAGTAGGAGAACTTATCGGTCTGTCATCAAGTCATCGCTGACCTGGAGCGGTTCCGAGCAACAGGCTGCAGGCCCGCCAGGGATGACCATAGCATGCCATAGCACAGTGGGCAACCTCAGAAGAGTCCTGTCAGCCCAGGTCATGCGCCAGCGTCCATTTTATCCCTGAACCGCCAACGTAGTGCACCCCAAATAATGTGAGGCATGTTACATTTTCATAACGTTGGTTGGCAGAAGCTTGAAGCTACACGGCTGAGCATTTTCAGCTGAAGTTGGACAAGCCGCCTCAGGACGTGTGCTGCCGAAATCCGGCAGTCGCAGTGGAGTAGCTCGCGGCGCTGTAAAGACTCAAGGCCGCTGCCTGCTGGAGGAAGCATTGCCGGAAGTATGAGTTTTGTCTCGAGGCTCCAGCTCTGAACCGCGCATGGCTGAGTCACCTGGCCTCCAGTGCTGTTCAGCGGCTTTGTAAATCGCTTTGTTTCACTTGCCGCAAAGGCAGGCAAGTGTGGGATGTGTGAAGCAGCTTGCAGAGGAGCCAGAGTGACACAGGTTGCGCCTTCCGTACCCGCAATCGCCGCAGAGCACCGCGAAAGTCCTGCTTGATGCTTGGCGAGGCCGGCGGTAAAGATGATTTTCTGAATTGCAGGTGCAATCAATTGCAGTGAACGAGAATATCAGGACGTGCTCTTACACCGTCCCTTTGTGGCCTTGAGGCACTTGACTCAGAAGCGACTACCGCCATACGATTGCACTGCCGTGCCTTTGCTCTGCATTTGGATGTATTTTGAGGACCTCCGAATGCCTAAAGAGGCTTCCGGCTGGCCTTGGCAGCACCGGGAGAAGGCAGTCAGTTGCGTGCTTCAGCCGGAAACCTCAAATACCAGCCAGCCTATGGCAGCCTCGAATTGCACAGGTCAAGTTGCGGGCGAAATCTCATCCAAAGGATGCAGCATTGCTATCTGCATGTTTCAGTAGTTCCAACACGAGTCCTGTGCATGGCCCACGAAGGAGCAACCGTGTCGGTTTAGTGGCACGGTCGAGTCGGAGTCAGAGGCCATCTTCTCCATTCACTCTTGGCTTGTTCTTAGAAGTTGAGCTGGCAGGTGCCTAAATCCAGCGCCCAAATTTTCCATGACTCTGACACGGACACGGCACACCACAACCAGTCTTCGCGAAGTAGGTTGTGATGCGTTGGGAAGTTTGCATGTGGTTGGTACGTTTGAGCGCATACGTGATACTGTAGAGTCTTGGGGCGTCATGCCCTGCTCAAACTTTTTAAAAGTGTTGACGAGCTGGCAAGACCTCAGCTTAGATCGCTGGTATTGTCAAAGGGGCCCTTGAAGCTCCTAAAATTTCAGAATGCCGAAATGCCTCTGTGGAGGGCGGCTAGCTAATGAGCAGCTTAGAGGACGAAAGGGTCCTCGGGCTCTTGAGATGTCTTTTAATTCTTTACAAACGGAGCGAAGTCCCAGCTTCCGCTCATTCTGCTTAGCTCCAGAAATTGATACCTGCCTTTGCCTGCTCAACGCATGGTTGGTGATGCTACAAACATGTTTGCTGTAGGGTCAGTGCTTCACCTGCAAGGCAACAAAACAGGATTAAACAAAGGCAAGAAAGCTGTGCCTCCATCACTGTTCCCAGGCTGCATGCATAGCCGTAGCAAGCGTGGTGCTGGCTACAAGTATCTGACATATCTCACACGAACAGACACGAGCTACATTGCCTTGCACGATCGAACACTGCTAAGCTGCGGCAGTAGGCTTAACAACCTGCAGGTAAGGTGTCCTGAACCTCAGAAGCCAGGTCAATGGTGGCCGACAACACGGAGAACTTCGTCGAGGTGGTAGCCCTAAGGCCGTGTTATGCCGTTTTTATCTCAGCAGCATGCAGGTGCGGTGTCACAAGCTTCTGATCTGCGACCCCCGGGTGGCTCGCAGCAAGCCTTGCAAACATCGCCTTAGCTACGCCTCCACAGGACACCATGATCCTGGAGCTTGCTTCGCTGCGAACCGCCGTGCGCACCTCTGCCTTACTGAAACTTCTGAGTAAGAGCATGAAGTCCTTTCAGATCCTTTCAGTATGCTGAAGCCTCAAGAGACTCAGTCTTCTTCTGGCTCACTTCCTTTGCGGTAGCTGCTCGACTCGGTTTTAAACCTGACCTGCAAGGTGGCGCTGCAAGTTCTGGAGCGTGTTTCACATCAGGACTTCAACGTCTTGAGACACCCCCCCCCTTTGGGCACGGCACTGTGGTTTCAAGGAACGCTTGAACCTGGACGATGTGACTCTGAACAGCTTTGCCGAGGCGGTGTTTGCCCACCCGTGCATCATTGACCAAGACTTTACCTCTGTCAGGCATGGTGCTTCTTTGACGACCTATTCGCTCTGTGCGAGGGTGAAGAGGCTGCACAGTCGCTACGACCATGAAGTGAATGAAGTGACCAACCCTGCCGCTCTGAGGATCTTTCAGAACGATTTTCTGGGAGGCCTGCAGCCAAGCGAATCAGAGCTTCAGGTCAAGATAGGTCAAGCAGGTTTGCTTGAATTCGCCAGCACGGTGTTCAATTAGAACTGAAGCTTGCAATCACCAATTTGGTTGGTGAAATGCCAACCTACTCTGAGGCCCGCTCGCCAAGTCGTGGTTCAAGATTCAGTGCGGTCGACAGCTTCTCTAAGGGTCATGAAGGTGACCGTAGCCCTGAAATCCTGCTCTGTCCGAGGTCCGTGTCAAGGTCACAGGCTTAGAGGCTTCTAGCGGCTGTTTCATGCTTGTGCAGTGTGTGCTGACAAGTGCCGTGGTGGACTGGCAGACTCCGAGGCTGGCGAGAACGCAGAGTCCTTGCAGTCTGCAAACCGTCAGGAGCCCAGCCGAGCCCAGCGTTCGTAGCATTGTTGCAGAGACGCCCTCCGTGCTTCATCATCTAGGTAGTGGAGCTTCTGGCAACACGGCCGCTGCCGGTGCACTGCTGAGATGTACATGGCTTCATTCGCAGCTCCATCCTGCTCCCGGCGGAGGACCAGCGTTTGAGCGCGCTGGAGCTGCATGGCTGGAGGCGCGCAAAGGTATGCAGTGAATTCGGATTCTCAGTCGTTCCCGTCCCCAACCAGGACAACGTGGAGTTGGTACGTTCAGCTCTCGCGCCTTTCGAAGATCAGCACGATGGCAGCAATCAGGGAGGGCAATTTGGTAGGCTGCATGTTGTTGTGTTACATGAAAGCAGCCAGTAACGGAACTGAGGCTTCACCATTTACTGGAGGTGGTGTGCGAGGGCATTGAGGGCGGAGGCCAGACTCTCGGCGAGGTGCTCGAGTCGCGCGGCAACATCTGCAGCAGCCTTGGAGATCCGCCTCAATAATATTTCGCGGCCGTGAGAGAAATTCTTGAGGCCACACGCTCCGGTGCCTGCTCGCGAACATGCAGGTCTTCGCCTCAGGTCCTTTGTTCCATGACGGCTCTTCAGAACACAATTCCACAGTCTACAGCAAGATTTCTTTGATCGTGGCGAGTGACGAAGGATTGTTCCCCTGAAATGCTCAGGTCTGGGGTGCATCGGGGAATCCTCGAGCGGAAGGGTGCGATTTTGCATTCTTGTCGCTTGGCCAGGACGGAACTGTGTTTGGATTCTTTGGCCTCATCCTGCTTTACCATCATGCAGCAGCTCCTCAGTTATGCCCCCCGACTGGCGAGGAGATTCCTTCTGGTCTCCTCGAGATTGACACTTTCCTTTCCAAGGCCTGTGTCGTCTGCTGCAGCACAAAAAGCTTTAGACACTGCAGTGAATCATGCAGGATGAGGTGAGTGCTCGCCAAATGAGCCGCGCGCCTGATGGATGGGTTCGCATACTGCAGGAAGGTGATGATTTGTGGGTAGGGTTTTTCCAGATCTTGATAGGCCAAAGCCGTCTGTCCGAGATGATGAGCACGCTGCACCCGGAGCCTTGTCTTTTCCATTCTTGGTCCTGGCCGTGCTGGTTGATAGGGTGCTTCATGCTGAGCAAGGTCTTTCATGCTACTGCCAGGACAGTCTTGCTCAGTTCCACAGACATCTTGCACGGGCTCGAGTGACTGCCAGCGGCCAAGATGGACATCATCGCGGGCTGGAGCGCTGTCTGTCCTTGATCTTCATCAAAACGATGTTGTCAATCTGCCGAGTCTTTGAGGTAGTTTGGCGCGAGTTTCGACGCCGGCAAAGCGTTTTGCAAGGCGCGTTGGGCAGCCTCTGCGTTCAGGGTACCTTGGCTCAAAGCTGTGTGCGCTCACACGTGCACGACACGGAATCCCCTGGCCCGGAGATCTTGGGAAGAGCCAGGGGCAGCCCAAACAGCTCTGTGGAAGCATATCTAGACCTCGGCACAGCTTTGGCTTCCTGAGTGCTTTGGTGGCGTGTGTGCAATAGCTCACAACAGAGAAACGTGAGCATTTTCATCGTTATAATACTCGCAACTGCTGTTGTCTATTCTATCCCCCGATAGTTCCTGTTGCGTTTGCGGGTTTCTGCTTCATGCTGTGCCGGGCTTCGTGACAAAAGCGGTTCCCACTGAGGCTGCAGACATGAAATGAGATGAAATGAGGTTTTGCCACGCGAAATCCACCAATCATAGCCGTTTCTATGGCACGTCGGTGCCGCAAGGGGCAGAGGCTAGACTTCTATCATTGTTACCTTTACCCCCCACCCACCAGCAATCTAAAAACAAAGCTTCAACAAGTTAAGGCCGCAGCAGAGCATGCCAGCACGGCAATTCATGAATTGACCCAACATGCTCGAGCCAGGGAATCTGCAGCCCATGCTAAGCAGAGTCTAGTGTCCAAGGCAATGACGCTTCGCAACAAGAGCAGTTAGACCGACTGGTGCGCACGATCATTCTGAACCTGGACGAGATTGGCAGCTTTGTTTCCACTCTCGCAGCGTTCTTCAAGCAGCTCGTCAAGAAGGTGTGATGCATCTAGTGAGAAACAGAAAGCCTCTTAGCATGCTTCTGCGTGCAACAGAGAGCAACACACGCTGAGGAGTGTTGACCTTGCGGAGATCAGCGAGAACCCCGCCAACCCAGCAGCTTGAGATTGCTGGCCGATGCTGATCATTTGCTCTGTGCTGCCAGGTGCAGGGAGAACCCAGACCTGTCATCGACAGGTGCAAAAGGGGTTGTTCTTTTGCTGAACCTCGTTGCAGAATCTCAGGTCCGTTGCGGGCTACGTGATGCATGTAGACTGTGGCCACAACGGTCCTCTGGACGAGGCGGTTTGGTGGTGGAGACGGGACTTCGTGACTGCATGCCATCATGCTACATCATCATGCTTATGACTTATGTGTGCCCGTCTTTCGTTCGGTTGCTTCAGAGCACCAGACTAGCATGTTGCTTCCAGGTTGACCTGCGCCAGCTGTCGCTGCACTTGCGCGTGTCCAAATTTGGAAGGCAGGAGGTGTGATGGAGCCATCATTGAATGATGCACACGAGTTTTTCTTCGCAGCTGTAGGGCATCACACCTCCTCCATGATATTTTCAAGTAGGTGTCTCACCCAGGTTCGGCAACGTACGTTGTGGCTGAGCCATTCGATTCAAAAGCTGTGTGCAGCGCTGGAGTGCAGGATGCCTTGTTGAGGAAGGAATGTTGACGTCCGCGATCCAGAAGCCATTCTCGGTTCTAGTCTTGCACTCTCAGGGTCTCTTGCACTGGGATGGACCCAAGCTGCCTGGAGTGCATTCAGCATACTCAGCATAGCGTTGCTTGCCTTTGTTGACCGCGAAGTCGAGGATCTGCCGCTGTCATGAACTATAGTACTGGTGGTGCCAGTGGTGCCAGCGCTTCGCCCGCCTTGAACCTAGCATTCGTCCGAAGCCTCCCTACAGGCAGGAGGGCTTCGGAATTTCGAGGAATCTAAAAGTTGTGGGGAAAGAATGGGAGTGTTTGTTTGCCTTTTGTAGTAGGAGTTTCTTTGTTGATTGAGGGGCTGCCCCGAAGCCAAGGCCGGCAGCACTTTTCGTGAAGTTGCCACAACGCTGGCGAATGAGTGGTTGGCCAAGAAACGGAAAAAAATCCACTTCTTCATTCTCAATATGCTTTAGGGGAAGTGGCAGCAGTTCTCAAGGCTGGTTGCGCAGCTGACGCAGGACATCAGCTAACTTTGCGGCTATGCCTGGCCTGGCAGCTTCTGAATATGCTGCTGACTCGCAGGAACATGCTCGTGAGGTCACTGCCATGTATCAGGAGGTCTGCTGCTATGCAGTCGCTGCATGAGCCTGTTGTTGCTACCAGCACTGACACTGTCAATATTGACACGTGAGGTGATTGCTCTGCGAAATGAGCTTCAGCGAGTTGCTGAGCTCATGCAGGCGCGCACACACAAACGCTTCGGTCCAGGTAAATTGTACGCATCAGAGCAGAGGTTTGTTTTGGGCTGCTCCATGCACTTGGTCTGCTTTGGTTGATCATCGCTCTTGCACGCATTGCTGTTGTCTGTTTTGTGCTTATCCCTGCCTGCAAGCATTATGCAAACTAATATCGCTGGGTGTACCCTGAACGGTATGCAACGACAACTTCCGCGCTTCCTAGGGTTTGTGCGTGTGCAGGGCTATATGCAGCGGGAGAAGCAGCTACATGCTTCCGGGCCGCATCTGGCTTTTGGGTGTTGCTACGGAAACCAGCCAGCACATCGAACAAGGACATGATGGAGCAGCTCACAAGCACATATCAGGAGGCCCCCTGATTAGACCGAGTCGGACTTGTCTCCTGCTCGTTGATGCGCTCAAGTGGATGCCACGCGAACCCCCATGCTTATGTGACTGTCTCAAAACTTGCTGTCTCAAAGGCAGACCAATAGCCCCGGAAGAACGTGGCAATGGACACGACCGCAAAGTAGATAAGTGCCAAGATAACGAAGGAACAGCAGAGTCAACCATCTTTTGTTCTGAATAACGGGATGTATAGCACCTGACTCTTCCAAAATGCGTCGACGATGGAAGCCGATGGCGCCTTGGAGGTGGAGCCAGTTCAGAGTCCTTTGGCGGACGACAGAATTGTTGTGGAGCCCACTGCGTTGGTACTCAGCATGCCACGGCTCAGGTCAACCTGCAGAGGCCAGCTTTGTGACAGCCACAGGCAGAGGTGCCATGGTGTGTGTGTGTGTCACAGTACATCAGTAAGTCAACAATTTGGCCGAGAGATACTAGGCCCATCAGATGAAGAGGTCCGTGAGGAGATTGATGGAGGTGACAGAAAGCTGCTCATCGGAAGGGGAAAAGGAAAAAGAGAGAGCCGCGACTCAAGGCTCCGACACGTCGGAAGACGGCGTTGTCCTGGACTTCCTTCAGCGGACGGCCAGCGCGCAATCCTCGGAGGATATTGATGAACCTAGGTGCTGCGGCGAATGTAGCGAGTCAAATAGCAACTGCCTGCTAAGGCCACAGCTTCACAAAACTTGCGACGATTCAGCATTGATTTCTCGGACTCGGGCAGCTCCTTCAATAGTGAAGGCAAGGCATCAATTTGCCAGACCACTTCAGGAGGCTCAAGCTGTCAAGCTCGGCTGAGCGAAGGATACTTTGCCAGTGCCGACCAGAGTCTTGCATCAATCCTGCGTCGTGGTGGGAAGGACCGCCTTTCAACAGTGATTTTTTTCTGCTTGGTCACTGAAGCGCATTTCATCTGCGACAGTTCTGAGTGAGAGACATTCTTGAGCGGAGCTTTGTTGCAGAGACATTACAGCCATCAAACTAGAAGACTGAACAGCCTCTGGATCCTCTGGCCTGCAGAGCGTCTTGCACCGGCTCCGTGTAAGCATGCGTAGGCTGTTTGATTCGTGCAATTTGTCGATTGGATTTATGGTGAGCAAACGGAGATCGTTGCACTGAATGTTGCATAGGCCAGGATGCCGCGTAGCCTAGGCTGTCGATAGTCAGTTTCTAAGAGGGTTCCGGCATAGCCTTTCTTCATCTTTCTTCTGCAGGGTTAGCAATAACTGAATGACACAGCCCGCGCGGGCTTCCAGCATGTTTTAAACGAGAAGTTGTGTGGTCCACCGCGTCGCGCATGCGCGCTAGACAGGCGTGCTATTTGGAAGTTGGACGAAGAGCACGTCTCATGTAACCAGATCGAAAGCGTTGGAAGCAAGGCTTGCAATTTCGTGTCGGTGCTGTGGTTTCGTGCGAGGCACGCTCTGCTTGCACTTGGTGACTGAATGCTCTTGGTATCTCATGGTGACGAAGTCTTGCTGGTCAACATCGTTACTATGCTTTTGGAATGCTCCGGTTCCTGAATTTTCTCGGGGATGCGCATCTGACCAGATGCTCTGGGAGATGGACATCAGTTTCGTTTATTCATCAGAGCTCTGCTGAGCTAAGACTCTTGTTGGGCAAGGATGCTAATCGAAATGGATGCTATCCAAGACAAATGTTGATTTGATTTGGGCATGGTTGCTCTTGGAAATAGGTGCTCGCGGGGATGGACATTATTCTTGTTGTGCGTGGATGCTTTGGGAAATGGTTGCTTTGGGAGATAGATGTTGCCATGGTTCGGCATGGATGCTCTGGAGAATGGATGCTGTCAGGAATAGGCGGGTGCGGTCAGAGATGGTGGCGAGGCCTTTCCAATGTTTTGGACAATGCAGAACAGGGTGTTTTCATGTCTTCTCCATGATTGTAGCCATCATAATATAATGTTGTGCAAGTCATGTTAACCTGGCACAAAGAAACTGCCTAAAGCTGGTTTTGCGTTATTGGTTAATCGAAGGAAGCGGTCACAATAATCAACTGTTGGGCGAGTGGCAGTACTAAGTAGTAGTACAGGCAGGAATACCAGGAGTACTGGTACTTGTTGTAGTCATCGTCGTACTAGTACTCGTAATCGTCGTCGTAGTCGTAGTCGTCGTAGTAGTAGTAGTAGTAGTAGTAGTAGTAGTAGTACTACCAAGCGCCACGAGAGCTCGAGGTTCCAGAGAAGAGAACGAGGGGGAATGAACGGTTGTGCTGCATAAGTACTCTGGCAAATGGATGTTCTGCATGTCATTTATGATTCGGGCAGGCAGGTACTTCTAGAATCGGAGCTCATGGAAGAGATGTTATTGGTGTTCAGATAGTTATCTGCACTTGACAGGATGCCAACTGCCAACATGGCTTGCTTTTTGCAACCGCCGTTCTCGAGCATTGAGATGCATGGATGGGCGAAAACAATGCTCTACAGATTTGAGAGCGAGTTGCATAAATCATATCCCTACTTGCAGGAGCGCAAAGCTTTAGAAGAAATGCGACGAGAATCCTTGGTCGGGAAGCTGATGCAGACAATCATGAAGTTCTGGAAGAGGACACTTGCGGGCTGGAATAAGTAGCAAGCTTGCTGTCCGTCAGCTCGAGAGGAAATCCCACAAAGATTGGGTGAGTCCAGGGTCAGAAATTTTCCGCCAGCACGTCGCTGCAATCTGCCGTGGCGCGCTCAAGACGATGGTCGTGATCAAGATCTTTGCATCTTTTGATTAGCACACAAATCCATGTCGCTCAAACTTGGAAGCTTTTGCAGGCTCTCGACAGGTTGCTGTGCGCTTGCGAAACACGGCTCAGGCGCTGGCCATATTCCCAGCACTTGCTGCATCCTGTGTTGCATGCTCTTGGAACGGGGCTGCGCTGCTCTTACTGACATTTGAGGCCATGTTGCACGTTGCAGACGATGCAGACGTCCAGCGGGTTTCCAAGAACAAGGTCGATGACATTCAACGCAAGAAGTTCTGGGTCCCTCGGACGCACGCGCGGGGATCGTGTGCCAGTGCGAGTTGTGGATAGCTACCTTGGGATCAGGCAGACTACAAGTCACGAACACTCTTGCAGATGCCGGACGCTGATGCAGTCGGTGCCCGAACTGGGATGCCAGGCAGAGCCCCGGCAGAGCCCTCGTGTGTATAGCTCTTGTATACACTTGTGCAAGTACAGGCGCACACGCCCACCCAAGACTCGGAGGCTCCTTGCATGCGACACCGTCTCAGAAGCGCGAGCGGAACACAGCCTTCAGCTCAGACGACAGCTAACAAGCAAGCAGTAAGCAAGCAGTAAGCTGCCGCTTGATGTTCATGGCTGCCCACTGCTTGTCAGGTGATCAGGCTCCCGAAGCTATCACGAGATCGTGCCCCCATGACCAGCAGCTCCTGGCAAGCATGGTCAGACTCGAGCAGTCATCTGAATATGTCAAGAACACACATACCGTCTGTTTTGTGAAGCTGGCATGGTCATGTGTTGTGATGTTTGGAATTTGTCTGTCAGAGCGTCCGTCAAGGAGTTTCACGAGAGCCAAATCGTCTGCTTGTGCTACGTGATGGATGGCAGCTGACTCCGCGTGGAAAGTACATGCAGGTGGTTTGTATTACCAGAATAGTAGCGCTAGGAACATGCACCATGTGCTTTGAGGCAGTGCAGCAATTCAAACAACAAAGGGCATGATATGTGTCTTCTACAGTCGTAGATCTTACTTCCAAACGCGATTGGTTCAGAAGAGCCAGATCTTGAAGAGAGCAGCGGCAGAAGAGTAAGTCCTCCAAAAGCAGACAACAGGCAGACAGGCAATGCGCAATGCATGCACAGGTTTCCGGCAATTGTAATACCTTCACTGAGACGGCTGGTCTGCATCCACTTCTTTGCAAGTGCAACATGCTGTGCCAGTTGTGCAACATCCGCGGCATTCGACCCGTGCTGCACCCACTGATCACAGGCAAGGGTACAGGGAGTTGTTTTGCTTTTCCGTTTGCTTCAGATCTTTTTGGCATTGGGTTGTCGCGTATAGACAGGTGAATCCTCAAGCTTCACCATGGCGGACGAAAACCTCGGTGATGCCGACTTGCTGCCGTTGATCCCTCTTTTAGCATCTCGACGCACGTGCTTGCATTATCATTATCTTTCCTAGAAGCTTCATCATGATGGTAATGGCCAGCAGAATTGAACTGCAACGGCTGAGGAGGAGCTGCAACTCGATGCAGCAGATCTGTCTGGAAACCGTATGCTCACAGATGCTGATCCAAACCTGTTTCCTGCTGTAGGAAGCTTTCATTTACTCCTCATGACTTACGGACCATGCAGCCAAGGATAGGTCGCTTGTGCCATTGTCTAGCCCCAAGAGCTGGAGGCAGTCAGATCTGAAAGCAAGTGGCAGAAACTTCCGAAACCCGAGGATCCGGTCACTGGCGCAGTCAGCTTTTTTGCGACGGCTCTGTTTCCGCTCGGTCCTGGGCCCCAGCAGCGCCGCGCTGCTTTCGGAATTGCAGCGTGTCGGCATAAAGGCACCGGGCAATCTTGGGGGGTTGTTCAGGTTTTGTTCCAAGGCTGTTGAGTCGCACTGCCTTCAACAAGCTTGTCGCCTTGGATGTCAGCGAGGCCTGCAATTTGCGACTAGATTGTGTCTCGCACGGTGATGCTTTTGTTTCCAGGTGCCGCTACATAGGAAGAGCTTCCAGGCTCTGGCTGAGGCCATCGCTCACCATCCGACTATGTTGGAGGTGAACTTGGCCAACACAGGCGAGAAGATGCGAGAAGCGCGACAGTTGTGAGTCATCAGTAGTAACTTGCAGCGGCAGATCCCAACTTCACACCTCCTGACCGTTTGTTAGAAGGTTTTGCTCCATATGCAACGGATGGGAAGTGCTGGACTAAGCGCACTGTGCAAGTGGAGAGAGCGTGAAGGCTTTAAAGACAGCGCTCAGGATCTGCATGAGCCACGCAGCTGCACGGGTCAGGAAGTCGTTTGTCTCTTGTTTTCATCGGCTGAGCTGCTCAGGATCCTCCCTATAGTGGCAATGTCCTCCTCTTAAGGGCTGACACCAAGGGGAGGGCAACACCACGGATGACCATGGCTCATGCAAGGGCTGGACTCACCCAGAAGCCAAGTCTTTCTCTTCTTCTTCTTCAGAGCAATGTCAGATATAGACAGAAGCTTCTTTTTGCCTGTTGAATGTCTACAGGCCACCAGGACGAAAAAAAGTAGCAACTTTGGTGAACATAGCTCAAACTTGGAGCGGACCTTGCGCAAACCTGCAAGAAAATCCAAAAAATCACCGGCAGCAAGGCCCCAGAATGCCTGGCCACGAGCGCACATGCAAACTAAACCTGGAGAAGGCGAACGAACCCCCAATGATGCTAATGATGCTGGCCCCCTAATAGTTTTCTCAACTTGGGCCCACAACAGGTCATGTTGAATTTGAGGCCGATTTCGGGGCGGAGTCTGGGAGGGCTTGTTTGAGAAACCAAGGTCCCATGGTGCTGGGCAGGGGGTTGGCAGCACACGCACCCCCTTTGTAGAGCAAAGTTAAAGCTATGCCTATTGCTGACGCCAGCACAAATGGGCATTGCCCAATTTGGGGGCCGACGCCAGGGGCAGGCGACGCAGCAGGGCAAATTGCGTGCAGGTGTAGTTTTGTCAAGGCGCACCCCAGAATCGCGCCCTGCACGGCGGATCTCCAATACCCATTCAAATCTACGCTTTTCTCAGTTCTAGCCCAAGACAGGCGTTAGGTTAGTTTTTGTGTTGGCCGCGTTGCAGATGCTGCAGCGCTGCGAGTACACCTCACCCCTCCACGCGCCTTGTGCATGGCCTTTTTGTCATCAGTCATCAGATTTCCAGGGCAGCCAGGGCGTTTCTTCAGTCAGCTAAGCTGCCGTACCTGATTTTGGATAGCTAAAGGCATGGGCTCTCACGGTTGGTGACCCTTGCTGCTCGTTTTGCTTCTCTTGTCTGCTCACAGTAGAGAGGTCGCAAGGAGGAATTTGTATTATCTGGTTCACATACTTCGCTGCGTTCGTGACAGACTCGTCACTAGACATCAGCCGATCCAGTTTAATCTCAGGCTGGCTGATGTCATGCCCACGCTTGCAGAAGCTGGACCTGTCATGGAACTGCCTAGACATGTGCGCACCTCATTGGAGCCATGCAAGTGGAGAGACAGCTGTGATTTGCTCTTCTGAGTCCGGCTTTGCAGCAGCTTGGGCAAAGCTTGTCAAAGCATCGCGCGCCCGAAAAGCTCAGCTTGGCTGGTTGCTCTGGGAGGCAAGGCCAGCAAGGGCAGTGTCAAGTCAGGGTGATAGAAAAGAATGTTGCCAGGTCTGCGCTGTCATCAGACTTGCCCATCGAATACTTCCTGGACTCAAAGTCAGCAAATCTAGCAGAGGTGAGTGCACTGTGGGTTGCCAAGGAGCTGTTGTCCCAGAACAACACCCTCAAGCAACTTGATCTCTCCCTGAACCACATGGACTATCGTGCGGCTCTGATCCTTGAAGATGCCCTTGTCGCTTGACTGTTTTAGCCTGACATGTCTGAGCCGGCTGGAGCGCCTGGAACATAGGAGAGCGGTCCTCTTCAGACTCTGGATCTCAGCGAGAATCCGCTTGGTCAGGCAGCACTGAGATGAGAGTGCATACCTCCTGTCACAGAGCTCTTTGAGCGTGGCCGTCAGGTCGGTGTGCGAAGCATCCTCAGGCTTTTGTGCAGCAGCCAGGTGGGCAGCAAGTGAGCAAACCAACCTTCCTTCCCTGCCATCTCTGCGAGTCCAAGCTTCGATTCATCGCTCTTCGTGGCTGCACAGCTGGAGCTGTTCAGCCCGGCCTGGATGCGAAGCAGATCTTCAGCTATGTGAATCCGAGTTTTTGGGCTTAAATATTGCGATCTCTCTAGTTGCTGTTGTGCCTTCAGCGGAAGTGCTTTCAGAACTTAGGTGGGCTGTATGATCTGGATCTGTCTCGCCCATATCATCGGAGCCTGTTGCGCATGTTGTACAAGAAGTGTGAGCTGTCTGGCCAAACTTTCGCTTCGGCATTCCAAATCCAGAGCACAACGACGGCATACAGCCATCCGGACAAGAAGGAGGGAAGATACCCAATGCCGCAAAGTGGGAGGCTCTCCACGGCATTCTCGCTGGCCTGGCGTGACGATGGAGAAGATATGTGGGGATATGCGAGGGCGGTGTATCTGACGCCTGGAGGGAACATGAAAGTGTGGCAAGGTTTTTTCCTTCCGACAGCATCGTACAGCGCTTGTCACGGATGCTCAGCGACAGACCAGACGGGTTTTGGGTATTTTGGGTGTACTGCTCAGGAACTGGACCTGCCGTCGATTTTCTCCTTCTGTCCACAAGACAGCCCAGTTGCTATACCATTGGCAACTGGCACAAGAGAACCCCCAGGAGCAGCTCATGATACTGGAGGCCAGGCATGGCCACCAGATGCCGGCAGAGAGTATCTCCTTCAGTCATGGCGGTCCTCGCCTGCATTCAGGTCATGGCCAAGGACTTCATGATTTCCTCGGCCTTGCTCCAGGAGCCCCGCAAGAAACGTCATGGCACGTCCGCACAGCAAGTGCCGATGCAGCGGTTGTGGGTTTGCGCCTTTGCTTCCAAAGTGCAAATGAAAAACTAGAACTGTTGAAGTTCAGCTCGTGCAACACCCTTTGCAGGAGATGTGTGCTGGCAACCCAGATATGCTGAAGAACATTCTGACGCGTCTGATGCACTGTGTGAGTGGTGGTCGCTCTGAGAAGTTTCTCACTATGATGTATCTCGGCTGCATGACCATTCAGCAATGAACATTTTCCCTTAAAGAGGTGCTTGCCTGCGTGACCGCATATTCTTATCTACAGGCGTGCGCCGACAGTGGCAATTTACCTTCGCCTGCTGGAGGGAGTGAAGAAACTGCGACCTAGCCACACCATCACCTTGGCTCAAATGTGCTGCTGCGGTGATTCGTAAGGCTCTTGTTCACACCGGAAAACCCTACGGGTCATTACTACTTGGAGATGTCCAACAGCGCAGACTTTGCATTGGCTGAGCAGATTTTGGTTTTGAACCAGTGGGAGATCACGCCTCTTGTCGAGCAAAGCAACCAAGCTCCAGGATGCGTCCTCAGACTGTGTATGTGAATGCCAACAATCTGGCTTCGCTGAGGATTGAGGAGCGCCTGGCCTATGCAGATACATCTCAGTTCGGCAACCGCTGTCACCTTCGCAACATGACCTATGCAGGGCGGCGCCTGCCTGTCCAGGAGCGCGGCTTTGCGCAGTCTGGAACCAAGAAGCATTTGAGGCTTACCCCATGCCGCCAACGCAGCAACCGGAGACTCTGGATTTGGTGCTACGTTGCCATGGGATTTAGTGATTTAGCTCATGGGATTTAGCTTTGCCAAAACCCTGGACTGACTAATCAGAGCCAGATGAGCAGACAAAACACGAAGGGAGAAGCCTGGTTCCAGCAAAACCAAATCGCAGAGGCAAGCCTTTTGTTCTCGACGCCGGCCCATGACGGCCCAGGGTTTCTGCCTTTGAACAGCACCGGTTGATACCGACCCGAAGGAAAACGGAGACTCGGGCATAGAAAGGATCACAAGTACTGGCAGCAGTGCCTGTGAGATGTTGCATGAGTCACACCGATGAGGAACAGCTGAACATGTGCCTGAAGGCTGAAGTTCTCCACAATGCGTGTGTGGGCACGACAATCATCCTAGCTGATCTCATGAAGAAGATTCAAAGGCTTTGTCCGCAGATCCACTGCTGGCTCTGTTGCCTCGGTTTAATTGATCTCCGCAGTGTTTGAGGACGTGAAACAATGGATCCTGCCGACGTCTGACGCTTTTGCATTCGACTATGTAAGCTGCAAACGGCCCAGCGGCAATGATTCCACACTAGAGCCTTGGTTTCAACTGACTTGCAGCCCCAAGATGCAAATAGCGCAGTGTGCTTCCCGCTCTGGTAGAAATCCAAGACAGACACTGTCGACAGTTCAGGAAAGCTCAGACTTCGACAAGCTGCTGAAATCACTTTCGAGGCTATGACGGTTCTAATTGCTGTGTATTACGCATGCGTCATGAATGACAATCTGGTAGCACCAAATCCTGAACCCCAAAGCGTGAGGATGTTCATGTCTTTGATTTCACATCCGTGGCCGTTTTGGGTTCAGTTTGGTGCCCCGTGTGAGTAGGACACATTGTGTCCGAATATTCTTGAGCCATTTCTGGCTCCATCGACTGCACCAGGTACTCACCGGAGCACCAACTGTTTCGCCTTGCTGAAAACTGCCTGTGGGAGCAGTTTGACGCCGAGGGCCGGCGCAGCAACAGCTACATCTGCCGCTTCATCGCGGACCTGCACAAAGCCACCAAAGGGCTTCTCTGGAACGACCTCTCCGTGCACCTCAAGGATAAGCTGGTCGCCCCTCACCGTGAGGATTTTGTGCGC